CGCAAAGCGGCCGGGCTGTCGTCCATCAGCAACTCAAGCGGCGGTTTCACGGGCAACGGCGGCGCGGCGGGCGCCCGGGGATCACGTGACGCGGCGGCCAACCCGGGCGGCGACGAGCTGGACGCGGACCCGTTGGACGATGCGGCCGCGGCTTCGGTTTCGGTCGCGCCGCCGAAGAAACGCGGCGCGGACAACAGCACCGCGTAGTGCCCCCGCGAACACACGACCGTCCGCGACGATGCCCGTCGCATTTCACTTCCCCTCCGGACGCGCGATCACAACGATCATCACTCGACCGCCCCCGGGGACGACACACGTCTATTGCGAACGTTTCGTTCGATTTTTTTTTTTTTTTACCATTACGTCTTTCTGTTTTTTTTTCTCTCTCTTTCTTTTTCGCGCGAATCCGTCGACGTTCAAACGAAATCCCGAAATTCATTATACCGTTCTCCGCCGTCGTCTCGGAACGCGGTCCTGCAGCGAACACGCACCAGGAAACACGTAACCGTAATGGACGGATATTCGGTCTCGTCCGTCGCAGGGCTTAAGTTGTTTGACCTATCCGTTAGCGTAAACAGACATTTTTAGACGCTTCGACCTACCCTAACTAGTGGTTACTCCTGTTTCGTTCTGGTCGGGACACCAAATGTGTACAGATAATAGGAACATAAAAATATAAAATATTGAATGGCTATTCGTTTTTAATTTGTTTTAATTGTATAAATCTATTTCTTTATTTCCTTTATTGCCTTCAAAATATGGGTATCCCCGATAACGATAGTCCGTAAATATTCCACACCTTTCTCGCGTGCCAACAAAATAAAATAAAAATTATAAATATTGAAATACGCAATTTATTTCGACCTCTGGAGTGCTTCGATTACATTTAGGGGGGGGGGTTAAGCTCTCCCAAGTCCCTCCCAATATCCGCCCATGCATATAACTCGAAACGGTGCAGTTGTTATGCGACCCTTAACCTTGTGCCTATACGCGAACTCGGTTATATAAGAATAAATCACTAAAAGTTTCCGTCCGATCGTAACCGATAAAGTTTAAAGATCAACTTTCACTGATCACCGACTGCCGTTTTCTGTCGACCGTTTTCGTTCGTCCGCGCGCTCTTCCCTCTTGACGGTTTGCAATTTTTCATTTTCGAATAAAATCAGCTCGGGACTTTCGTTTCGGAATTCTCATTTGTTACGGCGCTGCAGATAATTTTCGCGCATCTCACGTTCACAATTATTTTTATACGCTCAACGCGTTTAGAACTTTTAGAGTTTTCAATCGTTAAAAAATGTTTACAGAAAATGACGAAATTTGCGTTAAAATATAAACCTTGAATATATGTGTGTGTGTGTATGTGTATGCATATTTTTAGAATATCCTCGTGCAACGTGTATTATAACTTGTACCGGCGGCGGAGTAGACTCGAGTTAATAGTTCAACCATATCACTTTGTTTGACGTGATATCGTACGCGTTGTAAAAATATTACGTGTATTTGGGGGGATTTTTTGTAAATAATTAAAATATTTAGATATTATGTTATAAATGATAATCAAAACTAAACGCAAACACGTATCTATGTATTACGACTACTACCGCTACACTACTACGACCGTACGCGATCGTATTCGTACACTAATCATTTTTTATAATACGAAATATTCAGTAGTAACAAAAACGTATTCACGGTACACAAATAAAATTTAGTAAACATAGTTCTACGCAATATTATCGTTGTATTTATTATAATTATTATTACACGTATAAGCGTAAGACAACGTACGGCTGATGAATTTCAAAATATATAGTATAATTAAATCTTTTTTGTGGTATTATAACGTGGGCCGTTCGTAATATTTAATTATTATTAGATGTATAATTGTCATAGAAATTATTGTATTATTCGATTTAATTATAAAAATATTTTTTGTAATTTTTTACATCGACTGTGTTTAACCTGATACCTATATTTTTATATAGATATATGTTTGTGTAAATAAACGTTTATTAGTTGATCATGTTTTATTTATAAACGTCTTTTTTTTTCAAACCGAAAAAAATTGTATTGTTGTGTATGTAATATTAACATATACAATTTAGAATATGAAAAAAGGTAGAAATTTAATAAAATATTAAATTATTATGGTATTATCAATTTTTACGAATCTGTATGAAATATAATTATTTAACTTGGATGTTGCTCAGAATTATTTAAACATACACGCCTGTTGTTGCCTTGTTCTGGTACGACTACTTTTTTTTTTTTTTATATCAAGACCAAAACTATTTCTAATTAAGATTATTAGTCTAGTTCCAGTGATGCAATTAAGTATGGTTTATTGAATCCTTTATCTGCTGCACTTTATCCGTCAGTTACTTTAGCATTTATTGTTTTACTTTAAAATAATGTTAACTAAACTATCTAACCTAACTTTAAATTTTCACAGCTATACTTAAAAAATAGAATTTTATAGCAAACTGCAAACTATAATTATTAAATTTACTTGTAATTTTTTTTTTTTTTTTAATGTTAACTGATAGAGGAATAAAATTATGTTTTGTATGTATACCAGGCAATATTTTGATCAGTTAAGTATTTTTAATATTTTAGCCTTTCTGACTAATACGATAATTATTGTGTTAAAATAAATTATTCAAAAGAATAATTTATCAACAATAATTGTACACACTTTTGAAAATTCTCAAAAATTACATTTGTTTTCCGATATTAGCTATTTTCAACTATTTTTTGATATAAAAATATTTATACATAGTTAGAATAAAAAAAAATGTCTGTATTGCTATAACTGAATTAAAAGAAAGCAATCACTATTCTGTGAAAATAGTACGAATATAAAAAGAAAAAAATAAGACAAAAAAGTAAGAACTAGGATTTATATGCGTCTGCATATTCTTTTTGCTATACGACAGACATATTTTATGCCATGCAAACATAAAATACGTTATATTTCGTTGTGAATAAAGTTATGATTCTTCAGCATATATTTTGATGTTATTTAGTTTTCAGTAAATCTAAAAATAACATTCCGTCTAATTATCTTATAAATATTTATTCAAAAATATAAAATTATAATGTTACTCGTCAAATAAATTGTACAAACATGTATTTTAATAATGAAAAATTAACGAAGAACTGCGAAGAAAAGGTAAGACCGCAAAATATCCATGATAACGTACACAATAAATTACATAGAATGACGTACTGACGAACCATAATCTTAAAAACGTATTGTGACACGACAACTGACATTGCCACGAGAAACATAAATTCAATCACTGAAAATTATATTATGTGTTTAAAACTGAAAACATCAACTCGGCTATATTGTGAACATTTAAAAAAGTATTATTTGTAAATAATTTTCTCAATTGTTGAGAAATTTAAATCATATATGAATAATTATGTTCAACTTATAAATCTTAACTATTTTTTATCAACATAAGTGGGAAAAAACATTTTTTCTTTCAAATTCCATTTTTCGTTTATTATTCGACTTGTTACGTGATGAAATATGAAAGATGAAGTAAACTATAATGAATAATTATTATTGTGTCGGTGAGTTAGGCATGTTGGATTATTTAAAATACGTATTTTTAAATAATACGATGTAAGTATATAGTGTTTGAATACATAAATACATAACGTGTCCCAGGATATCCATTTTCAGGAGACATGTAAAAATTAAATACACAAAACCGTTATGTTGAATATATTATGTTTATGTATAATTTATTTGATTGTCTAATTAATTGCATGACTAAGTCTGATTATGTGAACGAGCATCAGTGAAAGTTGTTGAAAAGTAATGTACCGAGACAAACAATCCGCGGTTTTTATTTTATTTTATTTATTTATTTATTTATTTTTTTTATGCAACCGTTCAAGTCTCCCACAACAGCACTGTCATAACATATTCTTTATTGACGATAGTCATACAGTGGGAAGTTAAAAACAACATGCAATACAAGAACAAATTTTCATCACATTTTTTGCACGACCATCGTAGTAAATGCATAATTCAGATAATGAATTCTGACACATTCTAACACGTCGAATGATCAATTAAACAAACTGTGTATCTACAGTGGTATATTTCTTGAGGATTGGGCAACATGAACATTTGTCACCCTCTCGAAAACTTTATCTGTAGACTTTATGACTACAATTCAGTATTAATACAATCGTTAAGCATTTCATTGAAAGGACCGACAGAACGTGTCATTTAATAATGTACACGGTATTTTTTATTTGCAATAATTTTGCAATTAGATACATTGAAATACTTGAAAAAATAATTTAGTCGAATATCTATATTATTATATCGTGTAAACCGATGTCTTCATGACTGTAATTAGTTAAACACGCTTATAAAGTTGTTGCTAAAAATCATAAAATTAATCGCTATTGGATTAAACCTTACTTAACACTATGCATTTGTTTACCTTTCATTACATTTTTGCTAGTAACGTTACGATTAACATCATTCCGGAACAAATAAAATACATTTTTTTTTAATGTTTTAAAACAGAAATCACTAGCTCTGAATAAGGAAAAGCAGGCAGCTACTAAAACACGGCAAAGCACTATGAATATTATCTTCTGTATTGAATAAAATGCTGGTAAGATACCTACCTGAAAATTTTGTTGACGTAAAATAAATTGAATACCTACATACTCGAAAAGCATTATAAATTATTGGATTCCCAATTATTATTACTATCGTTTGGTATAATATGCAAGCAGTACAAACTAGATACAGATATATATATAAATATAAATAATTCACAAACAATATTAAACATTAAATTAAAAATTAATGCTATGAGTAACTTTTCCATGTGGTCATTTAGTTAAGTAGTCTAAAGTTGGATGTCAAGTATCTTGATCCATTTGACCGCGTTGCTGGTTGCATTGTGGAGTTCTTCCACTGTCCCGTTAAATGCGCGGAGAGGGCAATTACTTATAACATGGGAGATGGACTGTAAAGAGTGGCCACAGTCACAGCCTGGACTATATCTCATTTTCCATTTATGTAGCATCTCTCCTGAGCGACCATGTCCTGTACGTAAGCGATTAAGTGTTACCCACTGATGACGGGGTAATTGTTGTCTAGGAACTAGAGTATCCAGGTTTTTAATTATGCTATAATTGTCTATGGCAGGATTCTGACATTATAGTTTCCATTCATCCATACCGTTATACTGGTTATCTATGAGTCTGGTTATAGTTAGATAAGCAGGTTTTCTAGATTTTAGCCTAGGATTCTGGTTTGACGTGTATTGATGTAATGGAAGGGACCTGTTTAAAGAATATTTTAACCATTCTCTGCATGCAGCCATTTTACGCCGGATGTGTGGCGGTAGGATATTGCAGAGGACTGGGAGCCAATCTGTTGGCATCGATTTGATAGTACCAGAGATGATACGCATAGAATGATTAAGTTAAACGTCAATCTTGCTACAATGTGAACTGTTTAACCATACAGGGGAGGCATATTCAGCGGCAGAGTAGACTAACGCCAAGGTAGACGATCGTAGGGTGGGCATTGCTGTCCCCCAGGATGAACCCGCTAGTTTATAAATAATATTATTTCGAGTTTTAAGTTTAGCAGCAGTATTTTCAATAAAGCAGCAGGATTCCCAATAAATTCTGATCAAAAATTTATGAGTAAGAGTTTTTCCACATTGGTAATTATTTTAATAACAGAATAATACTCAAAACCAAGATGTAATATTATTGGATTGACGTGAACGTTTCAAAATAATATCTATAGAAAATGCACAACAGTACTTTTGAATTTTAAATAAATTCGTGATGATGAGTGTGCTTAGTACTGTTCACATTTTGATCACAATCAAGCTCACCAATATTCTCGTAATTTTAAATTACATTAATATCAAGTTTTTTGTGAGATTTTACTTATTATTTAGTAAAAAAACTTAAACAAGCATATTTTCCAGGTTTTCAAAATTTATTTTTTTTTTTAATTTACCATAATTTGATGTCATCCCCAAAGAAAATATACACACATAAAAAAATAAAACAAATACTTATTTTGTACGTAATATTATAAAGTACGAATAATAATAATAATAATAAAAATACAAGATTGATCTTACATAATTGAGCGATAAATCATATATGACTCGCTGGGAAAAATGAGCCTTTTACAAAATAGGTTTACAACGTGAAATATAATAAACGCAGAACAATGAGAAACAAAACCCGAAAACCTTAACCGCATACATACTCGGATAATCAATAAAATTATTTAAACATATAATAATATTTGTATATTTCAATAATAATAGAAATATAATTGATTTGCGTTCAGTGTTATTTTGGTTCATAAGTTATTATTATTTGTACGCGACAGTATAATTTAAAATGGTGTATGTTTTTACATCAAGGTAGTTCATTCTGAGTCTTTATTAAAGTTATTAGACTATACGAAATGTAGTAACAACAATAAATTATATAAGATTTTGGAAATCTAAAAATAATAATAATAATAATAATAATTTCTCTGATCGACAGTAATATTAATTTAATTATATACATGGACAAGTCAACAAATGAATAAAAACACATAAAATAAGAATAACCAATGATAATAATAATAATAATAATAATAATAATAATATGAGCATTTTTCCACAAAATAAAATATTATAATCATAGAAACGTCGATAGTAAAATGTTGTTTTATGTACAAAATATAAATTGTAAGTACACACTCGCATAGTGATTGTTTTTGTACACGGGGAAATTAATGATGGCCGCAAGAATTGGTTTGAATTCAAAATAGTTCTACCGTATAATATTGCAATCGTAGGTACCGTAATAAATTTGATTATTTTGCTGTTCGACAGCGGATCAAATGCGAGTGAATACGTAACAATATATTTTATTGGATATACTGCATACCTAATGATTAAACGTTGTATATACAGTAGTATAAATAGATAGAGAGAGAATTTTATGATATTTATAATATAATATGGAGTCACCATTATTATTGGTAGTTATTATGTCACAACTACTAATATATGCGGTGGTGGCGGCGGTCACATAGGTGGTACCCATGCAACAGGTCGACATATAATTTTCTTTTGATTTTTGTTCGCCTCTGTTGCTCATTCCGTGCTTAATCCTCCATTTGCTGTCGTCTCTTCTCGTCCATGGCAGTCCAATCGCTTTTTTTCGAACGCTATTCGTCGTCGGCTACGTAGCCGGCGTTAGCCTTTGCAGAGCTTCCGTTACCGTTCGATATTACGTTCGTGGGCGCTGTCGGAATAGTCTTTTTGGGTTTCTTCTTCTCGTCCTGGCTGTAATGTGCCGTTCCTTCCAACGACATGGTCTCTTGACGGTGCGAGTTACGTACGAGGCACCCCAAGGCCAATAACAATAATATGACCCCCGAACAAAACAGAGCGTACTGCAATGCGGCCTTGGCCACGGGTGGCGTCTGCGTGGCAAGTTTCAGCAGTTGAATGACACTGTCCGGTAACTCGTCAATTCCCTAAAATTACGATTGCAGTATAGAGAATTTATTAGTGTTACGGTTTTAAAAATACGTTGCGTTCGACACGTACCTCCTCGAACCACATGATCGGGAACACGATATCTGGGAACGTGGCCACTTGCTTGATGTCTACCACTTGACTTACTGCCAGGTTGATTTGTACTCGAGCCCTGGCACGCATGGCTACTCCCATGTCCTGCGAAAACGGTACATGGTTATTATGACGTAATTGTTGTGTGCACTTCCCGGGCGGGAAAGGTAATAATACGAGTTAGTGTACTCACCGGTTGTACGTCAAGATAGAATTCGTGTAGCTCCGGATCGGGTTCGTCCATTCCTTCAACAGCGGCGCGTAGTCGTGGGTCGCCCATATAAAAATGTGGGAAAGACAGCAACACCGGCGAGTCTGTGTACAGGTCAGATACATAAGCAACGGTATTAATTTTTACGAAAAAAACAAAAATGTAAACCAATCTGTCACCGATTTGATCGTGATGATGGAAAACAACCGGGATCACTCACCATACTGACATAAGCTCACGTTGAACGTTCCATGAGGCGCGCATTGGCCCGATGTCGACGATTGCTTGGATACAGTTGGCATTGGAGTGGAAGCGCTGCTTGAACTGGACGAGCTATTGCTAGTAGAATTACTACTCGAAGGACAATAACACCGGTTTTCCGGCTCGTGTTCCGGATCGGCGAACGCCCTGTGGTCAGGCCCGAATCGATAAGCTTTCACTCCCTTCCTCTCGACTTCCTTTTTAAATCTGCGTAACACGTAAAACATATATTATAACATAAGTGTTGATGGTATCATAATGTTGGTGGTGAGACAGTAATTGTACACGGCGTCTAGAAACAAATGATAAAAGTCGGTTTACTCACACTAAGGGCAGCTTCCGACACATGTCCTTATCGAAAACGTGCAAGATCGTGTCGGGTTGAATCCTGGGAGGGAACAGTGAACCGTCGCTGCCGCCGGACACGCGGTTACACGTCTCAGAGGTCCAGTACGGGAGGTGAGTACGTCCGTTGACTTTGTCCAAGGCTGCAAACATCCGGATGTCTGTAGCTCCGGTGAAAACGGTCATGTTGTCTCGGGAAGTGCCATTTTTCTGTTTCCGATCGGTGAAATGGAATCCGGTAAAATAAAACACATTTCAATTAGCGTTGACGACGAGATGGTCATGTCAGTACAGTGAATATAGTGTAAAAACAAAAACAAAAACACGTGACGAAAAAATGTGCGGCGTTTGCGACGAAAACAAACAAATATCGTGATCGTGGGCGGTGTGCCCGTGGACGCGAGGTATACGAGATACGCGTGGTCATCATAAGTGACGGTGCTGGACGTAAAACGATCAAAAATTGCAAATAGTGTAGTCCACTACACACGCGAATGGTGTAGTAGTAGTATGCGAAAAGGAAGTAAGGAAAATACGTGAGATTTGTGTACGTAAATGGACGAAATGCAGCAAATGCGATTCTGACCGGCCGTCCCATCATTGACATCCGAGTGGTCTTGGCTTGATGTTTCACCACCTGCGACCGGTGCGGCTGGTCAAAATCTTTGGACCACGGTATCTTCTGAACCGAAGTGGGCCCAACGATCGCGCCCAACAGGATCTTTGTGCCGGCCGACAGGATGCCGTCGATGAGCGGACCGTCCGCGGACAACAATCGGTCCAGTTGCAGGTAGCCCAGCAACTCGGGCAGAGTTTTAACGCCGTACCGATCGACGATGTACTGGAGCTGTGGTATTACACGACGACGAGGTACATTATTTCACGGTAATATCGCCGAATAGGGGTGAAAAATGTGGATCGAAAAAGGCCTGAGCGCAAACGGTATAAAAACAATGTGTTTTGTTACAATACGTATTTGCACGATACCAATACGTAACGGCCGAAAGGAGTAGTGCGTTCAAAATGAAATATTTTCGATTGACGATCACCGTAAATGGGCGCGAAACGTTTGCACCGAAATGCGACCTCCCTCTTTACCACCAACGTCCATTTTGACCGAATACATTTCCATCACGCTAGTAAATGTATTATATTGTACAAAAATAATGATTTTAATTTTGGATTTTCAGCTGATGGGTTTTTTATAATATACACCGATATAAGGTTTAAAAATATTTTCTCGAAAACAACGGAATATGAACAACTGTACAACGAACTGTAGACCTATAATCGAAATTATAACTATTACTTATTAATAAATATTGTAACCTAATAAAAAATAGTAAAATAGTTATTATATACAACGTATATCACCATACTATGGTGTAAAATACGTTTAACAAGTGTTTATAGTAAAACTGATTTTTTGAAAATGGGTAATGAAGCAAAAATATAATAAACACATTCAATGGAAACGTGCCTCGTTTCTATAACTATTAACCGAGACTCAAACTTTTTCACATTGATATTATCTTTATCCTTATTTGGACAGACATCCGTACGTAAACATTATAATTGCTTTTAAGTACTCATGGACTTTTTTCCGGCATAATAAAACCGTTTCGAGAATAGTTTAAAATCAAATATGTTTCCTCGGTTTGCATTGCCACATTATAATAATAAATACCATTTTACGTAATTCAAGACCACCTTGTGACTTCTTGATTATTTATGATACTTACATTTTATGTGCACTAAAAATTTAATGTACTTGCTATATGCCATGTGATTATAAATTACGATTGTTATACCTCCTTTACTTATCATACGCACAACATACGATTTACGCATAGAATTATTTCTTTAGATTTATGATATTATTGTACGCGTACATTGCGTATGTACAGCACTACAGGCCACCAGTTTTTCTCGTTTTACAGTATCGTGTTTAAGGAAAAACACGGAAATCTGTTTCGTATTCTTACAAACGCAATTCACGGTAATGTTTAAGCGTTAAAAATCAAAACAATGATAGGTAGATAATTGAATCGAGCTGCATTATGTTATAAAATGTATTCATATTTCATCGGTTTGTGACTTACGTAGGAACATAATGGTCGTAGAATAGTAATATGATTTCTTAAAAAGATGTGAATATTTTTATCTATATTTCGTCGTCCAGTATTTTTATCTTGCTTACTCATAAAGTTATTGTGAATTTAAAAATGTAATCAGTTTTGTTGTTTGAACATGAATGATTCATAAAAATATAACAAACAAGAATTAAAATTTCAGTGAAAACAGATAAAATTGTTTTATATTAAAAACAATTATTTTTCAACAACCATTTTACAAGCGAAAACAAAACAATAATGTTCTTGATCAAACCAAAAATATTAGTGTTTAAATTCAATAATACATATTTTATGTATAAACCCCGATAATTATTTTCACTAATAATTGATTTGAGTCTATCACAATGTTATCAACATACATTACTTATAAACGAATCTCAAAGCGTAAATCAATCTTAAGTAAATAATATACGTTGTCGGATAAATGAGTAGTTTCAATTAGAACACTTATCAATTGACCGTTTAAAAACAGAAAACTTAAACAATGCAATTGAATACAATGAAATATTTTATAATTTTATGATTACAGAGTATAAATTATGTCACCAAAAGTGTATAATAATATCAGAATGATTAATGATTTTAAGGGGTCATAGATATTTTCTAAACTCAGCAAATCAATATTCGATATATATATTACTTTGTTATAGTTATAAAAAGTGTTGATCACGTAATCGAAATAATCTTTGGTTATCACCCATTATTTCTACTAATTAATTATTGTACTGTAATATTTTTAAGTTGATTTTTTAAAAGTTCAATATAAATTTCTATTTTTAAATAATAATGTTTCGAAAATATTGTAGGTACACTTCATATTAGTATCCATTTTTATCAAATTATTTAAATTATTTTTAAGTTATTGCTACACGATGTTGTGTATTTAGTATTCTAAAGCAGAATGTTTTTTTTTTTTTTATATATATATATAAATAAATTGGCAGAGTACCTGTAGATTTATAATATGTAAATGAAAAAAAATGTCCAGAGAAATATTTTGCCTCGGGTTACGAAACAAAAAACGTATACTCGTTACCGTTTTCGAATTACCATTGTATTTGAAAGATAATCATGACGAAAACATTATTCTGTTATGCGAAATTGATGTGCAATAATCCGGTCATGGCTTCGGATTATATGATGTAATATTATTTTTAAAACGAGTAAATCAGCCGAGAAAATAAGTGCTCGACGTCGAACAGATCACCCGGATTCGAATGTTATATGGTTTCGTACATTACGTACGGTAGTCTTGCGGAATTGACTCTACTCAAACTTAAACGGGCCGTTGAGACGCGCTTTATCGCGGGATCATTTGAAATTCAGTGTAAAGTTCGAGAGAGTGGTACAATGTTTAGCGGTCAGGTACCGTTGGAAATCATCGGTACGTCGAATGACACCAAGTCTAATACCGTCACGACTGCAGATATTGCATACTGACCCCGTATAGTAGTCCGAACTCTTCGTAAGGCAACTTTTGCTCTTTGGGGACCACGTCCTTAGCCAGTTTCAACAGCGGGTCCTCGTAGCCCCATAGCAGTTGGCCGACGCTCACCTCCACGAACGGTTTCACTTTCAATATGTCCATGATACTGGCCATGGCCAGTCTCAAGAACCGGGCGGCGTGTTTGCTCTGCGACGTGGCAGACTGGAATAACAACGATGACGACAACGCATGAATAATTAATTACGTCGATGGCGACGAAAACTGCAATGTATCATTGCATTTTTTTTTTAACGTGACCTTTGTGCAAAGGCACGCCAATGTTCAATCGTACTTACCAACATCGGAATGTTGGGCACCACGACGACGTCGTCTTCGGAACCGGCGCTCAGTTCGCGGTCGAATCTGTACACCTTTCGCTGGTTGTACGTAAGCGTGCCGTTTTCGTGGAACGTCAAGTTAACTTTTTCCCATGTTTCTCTACACGACATAGAAATAGAAATAAAACACAACAAAATATTATTGTACTGATACATAATAACGTACGAACGTCGGTTTTTTTTTAATGATAAATCAAGTGCGTTTGCGGACAGTCCGCACGGTGAAACGTAAGTCAAAATCAGCTTAACACATTTACGTTCGATGAAAAATGTCTATATTACTGTCCGAGTCTTACCGAATATATTGTATGTCATAGAGTTCAGTAATATCGTATACTTACACGTAAACGTACGGACCCAGCTCGTCCAGAAGCGGCTTCTCGCGCGTCTCACCGGGACCAACGACGGACAAGAACTCGTCGGCGTTGGTGACGTTGTACACGTACACTTTAAGCACCGGGTTGACCGGCGGTTTGCGCCACATCTCGTACGTCTGAGAACCCGGCCGCAGGGTGATTTGCTGCGAACAGATAATGTGATTTTAATACTGTGTGCCTGTACAGAGACATACTAGTAATAATGCGCCGAAATTAAAAGCGCCTAAACTTTTCGCTGTAGAAAAACGTTTAAATAATTATTTAATCAGCTGATGTGCACTGTTACCTCGAGTTTAGCACTTACAAAAAAGTAGAGATATCCTTATGATGATCTTAAAGCAAAAACAATCTATTTTCCATTCATTTTTTCATGTCGTCGGACATGGAAAACGTTTTTAGTCTAACCAGCATTGAACTGTTATCACTTTGAACACCTTCAACCTTTAACCTTCACATTCGAGGCTGAACTTCTTTTTTTAACTAATTTCTTTATTATATTTTGAACGAGAAATCTCTACCGAATTATTTTTCTTGGTTAAATAATGAAATCGAATAAATTGAAGCTCATTATCAAAGAGTTACGTATACGTTACGTATATAACACATGTATTAACATAGATACAATCAAATAATAATTTAAATTAATTCTAGAAAAGTTATAACCTATGTCTGTTTTGTAATTTTTCATGAACATCAAAGTAACTAATAACATGTATGATCGGTTTTAAGTGATACTGTGTCAGAGTGTTGTAATAAAAAAACAGGTTTATTGAGATTAATAGAAAACATTTTCATGTTTTTAAATAAACCAAATATCTCCATAACCTAAGAGATTATTTTAGTTTCCGTTCAGATTTTAATTTGTACTCGGTTTTCGCTAAGAAACTAAAAAAAGTATTGTTAATTTCATATTTACGAAAATGTTCCATTCACAGAGTATTTAGTACTTGGTAGTAACTTCAATAGAATGTAATATAGAATTAGGGTAAACTGTTTTATTTAAAAATTCAGTTATCGTTTAGGATAAAACATGTATACCGATCTAAGTTTCTTACTCATTGATCAAATATATCCGTAAAATTTTAATGAGAAGGGTTTGAGAAAAGATGTCCGTTAAAGATAATAAATGTAGTAAATTTAAAAAAAGTTTTACAATATGTATACATGCACTGTAAATATAATTCAATATTATTTTTATTATTCTAAATTCTCTAGTAGTAAAAACTCGAACCAGTTGAACTTACAAATAAGTTTTATTTATTGAACTAGAATCGTGCGATAAAAATTAAATGAAAAACCTTGAATGCGTTTGTCATTTCAGTATCGAGTGTTCCGTATTCAGTAATGTCAGTTGATATTAATCCTGGACCTATACAGGTTATAATGAAAAAATAAAAACGTAATTTACAATAGTTGTACGTTATTGTTGGCGTAAAACGCTGCTCGATGAGAATAGTTCATGGTGTAAATTCAGTGAATACAATCACAAGTACAACGGACATCAAAACTATGCGGTGAAAACAATTTAATCTTGGAGTAGGTTAGCACAACTAAGCAAATTATTAACTAAAGCATTTTCTATATCTATGAAGCAGTAAAATCGTACGAAAAACAATATAAACATAAGCCATATTTAATATTTAAACGCGTATTAATGTTGAGTTCTGGTATGTACGTGGAAAGCGCACATGTATACGGTACGTAAATGGCGAACACTTACGTCATCGATCACTAACTCGACGGCTGCGGTGAAAAAGGCCACCACCAGGAGACCGCCGACCAACAAGGCTACAGCCACAGCGAGCACGAACCCTGAAAAAAGCCAAAAATAAATTGTACCGATTAATACGTAATCCATTCGCAGTACACACGTCCGTGTGCACTGGACAGTACGGAGGTAAGTTAAGGCGAGTTCACCGGGTAAACGGGATAAGGGTCGTACAAGTTACTGTACGTCAGTGACGCGCAGACCGTAGAACACAATCGTGTACGTGTTTCGCACAAAATGTTTTAGCGTAATATTAGGATTTCGGTGACGACCGATACGGACATATGGTGCGCGGGCACGGGGCTCTCGAACACCGAATCCCAAGCCCTCGGCCGCCACACAACAGTCAGAACAGTTCGACGTACCAAATGGGCCCCTGAACAAAGATGTCGCCATCTGTCTCGTTGATACTGTCGGTGCAGCTAAAACGGTCAACGGGCACCGATCCGACTCGAACCTTCACCACGAACTAAACAATATCCGAACTGCAAACGAGCGACCGCTCGATCGGACCGTCCGGGTACGTTCACCGGAAGCGTTCTCGAATCCGCTATAATCGCGCCAAGCCGCGTGACGCGTAAACCCATCGTTACGGCGGTACGCGCGCATAGGCGTATCGCGCGTGGGCGGCGGATTACGAAACGGTAACGGATCCGTTCCGGCTGGACGACGAAACCGAAACGAACTCGCACCACATCGCGAATGCGATGGATCGAAACTACTGCCGGCTCCCGTCTCCGGTGCGATAACGTCGTCGGCTAACAGGGACCGGGGCGGATTTGCCCTGGAGCCAGTCGCGTTCGAATCGAATTCGGGGCCGAGAAGTGGACCGATGTTTTCCGTTCGCTCCGGGGGACGTGTCGCGCAGGGCCGGCGGAAGGGCCGCACGATCGGTGCAGGCTGTTGAACGGACTTGGTCAAAACACTATCGGCGATGGGATAATCGAAAGGTTTCCAGCGTGGAGAGCCGGTAAAAAAATGTTTTCAAGAATCACTCGATCGTTTTAAACGTTTTGTAAAATGTGAAGTTGAATTAAGTCCGATTGTTAATTCGTATAAACGGTTAAATAAAAACGTATTTTAATTCAACGTGTTTAAAAATTATTCCTCGAAGAGGGGCGGCAACAGTTGAACGGGCTGCCGACCAACCTTTCTTCGAGTGTTCAGTACCAAAAGCAAATCGTTCCGCCGACTTCTGTTCGCGACGGGCCTTCGCGGCAAAATTTCGTTACAGCCTCCGAAACCGGGTTGACCTCCGCGCGCTTATCGGGCCCGAGAAAAGACCGCCGTCGTCCTTCTCGTCGCCGGTGGAGATGTCACGAGCGCGGAAGCGGAAGCCATCGTAGAAACCGTTCGGCGGCCGGTCCGCCGCTTCGCGAACCGTGTTGCGCGTGGCTAACGCGCGCGTGCGCCGAACTCGGACGGTTTCCGATGACGCGACCTTTTACGGCCGCGGCGCGCGCGATTATTTTCACGCGCGCCGTCACGCCGAGTCATTTCCGAAGCGGTTTTGTGTGTTACTATTACAATTGTTACCATTATTATTATTATTATTATTATTATTATTATTATTATTATTATTATGATTGTTATTGTTATCACGGTGCACTGTTGGCGTAAAAAAAAAAAAATATACGTGAAAAACATTATTATTAGTTCTATATATTAACTAATAAATGTATACGATATAAAACGATAATAAATCCAGCGGCTGAATTCATCCCCCAAACACCACCCTATTTGCGCCTATGCCAGTGTCTTGTGTGGATTACGGATGTTCCAATGTTATTTTTTATGGGCGAGATTGACCGATTCAGTAAGATTAAAGATAATATTCTTAATTATATTACTGGTTTTATTGTAAGAAGATTACTTAAAATGATTGTACAACATGTGCAGACAATATTAAAAAACAATCAAGTGAACTTAACTATAGTCATAAATAGTTTTATTCCACATCAACTGATATAAAAAATAGAAGAGGATTATCAAAGAGTTCGAATAGTGTTTTGAAATTAGTTAAATACATTGAAAATTAGTTAATCAATCTAACCAGCAATTTTACTTATATTATACCTGATTTATCTGTAACAATAATAATCTTAGCCAAAGATTATGATTATAATTTCAATAGTTTACAAAATGTGACGTGTTCCAATAATTAATTTTACAAAATAGATTCAGTAACACTAATCTGTAAAAAAATGTTTAATAATACGACTACATCATATTGCTAAAGCAAAAACTTCAAATATTGTTAGTAAACGACATAAATTAACAAAATTAGTTTTACTTAATAATATGCGATAAGTACTGTTTGTTTTTATTATAAACTGATACGTTTATGTCGTGTGAAAAACATAGCGTTTGTGTTAAACATTGTTTACCCTTATCTTAATTATATTTAACTTTTATGTTTATTTAAATTTGACTTACTGAAGAAATAGTAAGAACAATACTCGGCGAGTACTTAATATTTTTTTGCCAACGGAAAACATGGTGGATGTATGATAAGAGCACTGTCACCAGGCTTCATCATTCTCAATGATAAATGTCGTGAGTGGCTCATCTAGTAAGTATAGTTTGCGATACTACCAGAGAGAAGTTTACGCGTTGTTCGTTAATCGCGCGCAATAATAATTATTATTATACGCATTGCGACACGACAACTATAATGGCTGTACACGATATTATCGTGCGGCCGATGAATTTTATTTTTTAGGGAATTAGTTATTATCATTACATATCGTTCATATCATCGTTATTGCCCCTGATGACCTCCTGCCACTTTTAATGCGCATAACAACGGTTCACTACACGTATACGCGATCGTTGTACAACTACGGAAATCTCATGCCGAGCACTAGCCGACGGTTTACGCAAAAACCGCGAGGTTGTATCTATTCGTGTAAGCTAATTCGATCCGACGGCTAACCGTGAAACCAATATTTTCGTTTTTATTTCTTATTCCGAACAGTGTACGGTTACATCGTAATCTTCAGAAGTTTGCTGATCGAATACACGTTAGCGAAATACTTTAGAACCGGGGCGTGGCCGAATTGACTAATGTATTCCACATATTATAGCTTGTGCGCGTTTCTCGATAACATCGGATGGCAAAAAAATAAACTAAAAATTGCAACACCATTGACTATTGAGTTTTTGTACAACCTAGGTGGATGGACTTACCGCTATTCGTTTGTGTTTATACGAATAACTCTAAACAATTTCGTTTACATTTTTAAAATAATATGTTAATTATTCTACGGTGGGATAGATGAAAAAACTTATTGTGCTTAAACCTTATTCGCAGAATTATCTTATTTTTTCCTTTTTTTTTTTTGATGCATACTTATTTCATTTTCTTCTGGAATAATGATGTTTATGATCAAATAATTAAATAGTTAAAATGAAAAACTTTGAAATTATGAAGAGTTCGGAAAATGGTTAACAAATGATATAACTGTGTTATATTATGTGGAAGTGTTTAAGTAAAATAAACCACGTTAAGTTTATTTTATAATTACTGCAATACAACGTTTTGCTTCTACGAAGATTTCATAGAGTTAATCAACTGTTTATCGAAAATAGTTAGATCAATAGATTTATTTTTGTGCACAACGTGAAAAACAAATCGGTCGATTATATAAAAAAAAACACACAAAAACTATTTTACGCACATTAATATTATTTTGGCCGTGTACAGTAACTAACCATGGTTGATAAATCAAATATGTATGCATCGTATAATAGATAGTATGAAGGTTAATATGATGTTCTAGTCGTTATTTTTTAACTATCTAATTTGGAAAAAATGTAATTATAAAAAACTCGTTTTCAGTTTTTCTTTTTTACAAATGGTATAATAGCTATCGAAAAAATAACACCGTCGAAACATTAATAATATTGTCCTCTTTATTATTTAAGCGTATATATATATATATGCGAATTTGATTTCTTATAATTACAATACACACAAACCGAAAGGAATTAATTTTTACGCCAAACCGTTGTTTATAATTTCATAGTCACGCAAAAACCAAAGGTAAGTACGACTCGACGGAGGTCATCGGTAAATTATTTTGATAATACGTTCTATAATGTATCGTAATTAGTATTATTATTGTTAAATTTTACTTTAATCGATTACTTGTTGAGGATATTGAGGTAATCCGAATAAATAAACTTATAGGAGGTGGATGTGTACGGACACCGGTCAATGTAGAATACGTGGTATCTTTGCGGGGATTTATAATATTCCAACGGCATTGCGAACACAAAAATGTGGATTCTCGTTATAACGATATGTGTACTCGTATATATATATATATGTTGGTTTACCGTGCGAATACGGCGCGATTTCGATATTGGAATTCTTCAATTAGAGAGAGGTTGACCACCATTGGTCACGGAAAGAAATAAAAATATGAACTCGATTCAGACATGTGTACGAGTAACATAATTAACCGGTAGTGACCGGGCGCGTAGCAGGTAGTACGAGGTATGTGGCGCGTATATTTATAAGAGAAAATATGGTAACTCGTTATACGGTGCGCTGCGCGCGTTAACTGTAAAAACGAAGCGCGGTCAAGACGATAATAACACGTTTATAAATCGTTGTTAACTACCAATCGGCGCAGAAAAACGAGATATATTCGGGCCATTCCGGAGATTATAATATTACGCGTTCGGGCGTACGCGATTGCAAACGTTACACGCGCATGTTCATTAAATACGTATAACGTATACATCGTGTCCGCGGCCGTCGGGAGAAGCGAAAACGTGCGAGGATAGCTAAATCGCCGGTCGCGTACGCGCGTTATGTACGTACGAACGCGCGTGCACACGATAACATCAAATTATTACGATATTATCTGGCCGAGGACATCGGATCCCGTGTCGGGTGTATGTCGTGTCGACGCGGTATTGGGGTACGCAGTGGACGACCTTCTTGGCCGGGCGGAGAGAACTCGCGGCGTGCGGCGACCGTACGTACGATCAAATTATTATTATTATTATCATTATTATCATCGTTACGTACGCG